TGTATTAACTAATATTTATTAATATTAGTAATATTTAGATTTTACTAATATTTATTTATAATTAATATAAATAAATAATAATTAATATTGATGAGCTTTTCAATAAGGGGCAATAAACTATCAAAACATTAACTTCAAATGGTGTTTCAATAAACTAAGCTTTATTCATTCAATTGTATAGCCAATAAGTTTGCTTATAAGCTAACTTGTTTTTGCCAAACAATTCCTAAGACATTCAAAAGTGTCATAAAAACATATTATAACATTTTTTAAATGATACCAAAAGGCATTTGGCCTAGCGGTATGTGAGTCATTAGCCTTCTAGGAAGTCAAGGGTTCAAACCTCACCAAGAGTGAGGAGGATGTGTGAGTTTATTTGTTCTATTTGTCATATATAAATATTATATACTTCAAAAAAAAAAACATTTTTAAATGACGTTTTTTGTTTCGTTTTATAGACCTAAGTCTCCTAATCCATCATATATTTTTAGATGTCTTATAAATATAATATTATAGTGAAATATCTATTATTATTTTTTTCCACCAAAGTACAACGTAATGATAGTCTTTGGAGTGATAGATTCTTCACTCAAATATCTATCAACATTATTCATATACATATAGGTATAAAAACAATTCCAATAATTTTCTTCTATTAGATTCTTTGCCATCTTTTTTTTTTGTGGTGAAACCTTTTTGCTAACCTATACATGTAGTTAAAAAGAAGTACAAACATAAACTCAACTAACATTATATAACTTTACACACACACACACACACACACACACACGCACACACACACACATATATATATATATATATATATAGACTTGGGATCATGTGAAACCAATGGTTTTCTGTGAGACCCGTAAGACCAATCCTCAACCCTTGGATTAAATCTATAATCTAAACATTCATAATTACAAAATTGCCACGAGACTTTTCAATAATCACTAAATTGTCATCGTACAACTTTAGACTATCAGATCATTAGCTTATAAAGTTGATCAATGAATATAAATTGGTTTTACGTGTCTCACGAAAAACCCTTGGTCTCACGTGAAGCAAACCTTATATATATAGACTTGTGATCATGTGAGACCAATAGTTTTTCGTGAGACCCGTAAGACCAATTCTCAACCTTTGGATTAGATCTACAATATGACAATCTGAACATTCATAAACGCCACGAGGCTTCTCAATAATCACAAAATTGTCACCGTGCAATTTTTAGACCATTAGATCATTAGCTTATAAAGTTGATCAATGAAAACAAATTGGTCTTACGGGTCTCACGAAAAACCCTTGGTCTCACGTAAACCCATATATATATATATATATATATATATATATATATATATATAGGGGTCCATTCAAGGGAGAACTGATGACTTTGTGGTAACTGTGAGATTTAATCTCAACCACAAATCAACGGATAAATTAGGAAATTAATAATTAAGGTAATTTGAGTTAAAATTATAATTAGAGGACATTTTAGGTATTTTTAGAAAACTCCTCTCCTCTCTCCGACCTCCAATATACGGCCTCCGGTGAACATTAATCCGGCAGGTACCAAGTAATCACAAAGATACACAATGTGATACCCATTGTGATATATTGTGATACCATTGTGATACCAACT